TCTTTCTTTCTTTCCTTTCTTTTCTTTCTTTCTTCTTTCCTCTTTTTCTTTCTTTTTTTTTGTTGGTCTGCTGGAGCTCTGCAGATAGAGGCATGATTACCGAGATAACGTGATCCAGTGAGCTTTACATTTGTCTCCAGGCATCTGGAGCTTCCAAGACCCTGCAGGGTAAATTCGGTGAATAGCGTTCACGGGCTTTGCCTGTCTGACTCCGGAAACCAGGTGCTGACTTCCTCTTCAACACAGAGCCTTAAAAAATTGGCGTGTGTCCCCCACCCACTTGTGGGTGGAGGAGGGTGCGCGGAAGCCTGGGACGGTGGCTTAGGTGAGATCAGCTGAGAACACTTCTGATTGAACAGTGAGATTTGGCTGGTGACATCTTGCGGGGAGAGAGACAGGAAGGACAGTTGGAGCAGCTGGACTTGGAGGCAGTGGAGGGGGCGGCGGGAATGCCAGGCGGTGGGGAGGGGCACTTGGAACAGGGGACTGGAGGGAGCGGTTCCTTGGGTCGTGCACCCTTGAGCCGGGGTCGGGGGTGATGAAAGGGCTTGGCACCGAGCGAGCATCTCCTCCCACGTCTGGACCGGAGGACCCAGGCTGGAGGTCGTTTTGCATCCTTCTCCTTCTCTCTGGAAAGCTCACTCAGAAGCAAGGGGCTGAGGCGAGGGATTCAGAGGGACCACCTTGAATGTGGTGGTTGTGCGAGCAGGGGGCAGACCCCGTCCATCAGTGGGCCGCTGCGCAGAAGCCAGGCCTAGGCCTGCCCGTCCGGGGGCTGGGGGCCACCTCGCGGGACAGGCGCCTCTCCCCTGACACGCCTTCCCCCTCGGAGCACAGCCGTGTGTCTCGGGTGAACAGGAGGGTGGAGTTGCAGGAGAACCTTCCCACGGCGGTGGGATCAGGGGCTGACCCCGCCTGGCGGTGCCAGCTCGGGGGGTCGTAGTGTGGTCCAGGGGAAGGAAGGTCGGGAAGGGAGGGGCCCGAGAGCCATTTTAACCAGGGACCCCCTTGTCACTCCAGTCATTGGCAACCTCTTCACTTGCTTCTTGGTGGAATGAAAGCTTTTCTTCCTTTCCAAAGCGGTGACATTTTTGGCTTTGGGCATTTTCAGCCAGTGCCCTCTGCTCGAAAGCGTCTTTCTCAGAGAGGACAGTGCAGAGAGCAGACCAGACCCCGGGGCTCTGTGAGAATAAATGGCCTGTTTTCAGTTCTCCGAGAAGTCATGTTTTTATGCTGCTGTGCTTTTTAGGAGAATCGCAGGAGAATCCTATTCTGGAAAACACTTTCTGTCTCCGGAGTGTATGAGTGCTTCAAGCTCCCGGCAAGGGGGCGGAGGGGGTCCTTTCAGAATTCAGACCTGGGATCCCGAAGCAGGGGGATGATAAGCTGCCCTGGGCTCCAGGTTTGCCGCTTGCTTGGCTCAGGACCTTGGACCGGCGATGCTGTGCTTCACCGCTGGGGATGCTGAGGGCTGACCGGCCCACCTCCCCGGCTGACAAACCCCAGTCCTGGGCAGGGGCGGGGGCCAGGGCAGGCCTGCGAGCGGCGGCTACTCCGGGCAGCACGCAGCGTCAGGACGCACCTTCCACGTTGGCTGTTCGGAGCCAACGCATGAGTGATGCTCGCGGGGGTGGTCTGTCTGGAGAAGTGCGCGAGCGCACAGCATCCTCCCCGCGCTGACCTTTCCACGTGAGTCAGCAAACTGGGAACAGAAAACTGAGGAGTGAGATCCAGTTCCCCTCCCTCGAGGGTCAGGGAAGCAGGAACACTTCTGTGCGTGTGCCCCTGACGTGGCCCCAGCTCCTGCCGCATCCAGGTCACTACTCAGAAGGGACCCCAGCATGCTGAGCTGGGGAGGGCAGGGGGGCGAGGACTGAGCGCAGCCGCTGGCCCCGCATTGCTGAAGGGGGAGGGAGGGTGGAGGGAGGAGGACAGGCAGCCGGGCCGCGGGCAGAGCCGGGGGAGCCTTGGTGAGCGGGGCTGGGGGTGGACCCCCTCCACCGGGGCCGAAGCCCTGCACCCTGAGATACGGAAACAAAAGCGAATTTCCCTGCGTGGTTCCTCCCGTGTCTGCCGTGTCGTTGGGGGTCGGCACGCCCATCCTGTTCTTGTCCTTGAACTCCCGGGATGGGGCCGTCACAGGCGAGCCACAGAGAAGGCGCTGTGGGCCGGGAGTCCTTGAAAAGCAAATCAAGGACTTGCCGCCTTCACGCAGAGACGTGGTGACGATTAAACTGTTGGTGAGGATCCGAGTGTGCTTTCAAAAAGGATTCAATCAACGAGGACGTTTGATTTCCTAGTTTCAAAGTTTATTGACAGGCTTTTGTTCGGGTTCCAGAGTAGGGAGAAACCCAGGCAAGTGTCTGGAACATGAAAAACCTCTCTTGGTGCCCACGTGGGGTCATGGCTTTCTTGTTCTGCTATTTTTTTTTTATTTCCGAAGAACCGTATTTGGTCTTCATCGCATCTCTTGTTCTAACTTGTCGTTTTATTTTTATTCCTCCTGTGCTTTTACGTACCTTCAACGTTTGATGCTATTTCTCTGATACTGGAGAGCGGTGTTTTTGATTGATTATTGTTAGTGTTTTAATTTCTTTAATTTACGTGGTCGCCTAAGGCGGTGACTTTTCTTTCAGCCGCTGCTGGACATACGTCCTGTAGATCTGATATCTGGCTAAAAATTCATTGTTTTGTAGATACTTTCCATGTGGGTTTCTGTCTTCTTGACCCAAGAGCCACTGAAGTAAAGTTTCTTTGAATTTCCAAGTGGAAGTGCTCAGGAATCTTAGGCATACGATGTTACTCAGCTTGACTTACTTAAAAATTCCATTCCTTTCTTGGGAGCGTGTGTGTCTGTTGTGAAGCGGACGCAGTGTCACTTGCGTGAAAATTTAGAGCAACCACTTGTAAGTGTATATGATTCGTTTTTTTACCAAAGAGCATTCTGTGTTTATGTCAGCTCCCCTGTCTGTTTCATGCAGGATTTTTATGTTTATGAAGCAATAAAAGAAAGAGCTAAATGAAAAAAAATTCAAAATTAAAACAATTCTGTGGTAGCATTTGAAAAAAACCCAGATGGGCAAAATCCAAAAATTGCACGATACGCTAAACGCCCAGATCCTGTCTGATAAAACGACTTGCCCCTTTGGTGGGTCCCAGGGATGAATCGGGTGATCAGTGTGTGGGCTTGAAGGTCGGAGATGCAGACGAGGTGAGAGGACAGAGCCCCGGGGTTGGGGTGAGGATACCCACATGTCAAGGATCAGGGACGGAGAACCTTCTGGTGATGGAGACTTGGACAGGTGCCAGGAAGCCAAGAGCTGTTCTGGGAGCTGAAGGAGCGAGGGAAGGAGGGGAAATGAGGGCCATGTTGTCAGCCGCGGCTGGGACGTCGAGGAGGACAGCACGGGGAGCATTCCCACTGGAGCCACTGGCGATGGGACACCAGTCGTTTCGAGCATGCAGCGGAGAGGGAAGCCCAGTGAGGGTGGGTGGAAGAGTGAGCTGGGGAAGTCACTGGGCGATAGAAAGAGAACGTGCCAGTGGCCGGCTTTCATCCATGTTTCAGGCAGTGATCCATGGTCCACTGCTGTCATTGCTTGAAGACAGATAATGGTTCCCAGTCAGTGGGCGGAGGGGTGGGGACAGTGGTCCTGAGTTAGCGACCGTTTCCTCCCGCCACCTGCTCCGTCTGGGAGGGCTCAGGGGACCTGAGCCAGTTTTGTCCTTCGTGAGTCTGCGCACCTGTGAAGTCAGGGCGCCAGCCAAGCCGCGGGCCTGCTGAGAGGGTCCAGCGAGAGACCGTTTGTGGAGGTGCTTCTAGGGCAGCGGAAACAGCGCCCTCGGGTGCGGGACCTACCACACGTATCTCTTCTTTCCTTTTTTTAATTTGAGTGCCACCAGTTACGATGTGTCCATTCCTGGCGCACGGCACCATGTCCCAGTCCTGCAGATACATTAGTATCTTCATTTTCATTAAAGGTTGTTGCGAAAAATTGAATATAGTTCCCTGTGTTCTGCAGAAGACTTTTTTTTTTATCATTTGTATCTCTTGAGTAGAATCGGATTCTGACTGAATGGTTCCCTTACAGATTCTTCTTTTTTTTTTTTTTGGTCGGGAAAAGTTAATTCAGTGATTGATTGATTAAATGGAGGTCCTGGGGCTTGAACCCAGGGTCTTGTGTGCGCTCAGCACATGCTCTGCCGCTGAGCTACACCCTCCCCGCTTCCTTCCAGATTCTTGAACAACGTGGGCTTCTTTTTCCCCCTGATCATGATGCTGACGTGGATGGTGTCCGTGGCCAGCATGGTCCGGAAGCTGGTTTACGAGCGGGAGGTCCAGCTGGAGGAGGTAAATGCCTGAGAGCTGGCCTGGGAGATGGGGGGCGGCGGCGGGCGGTGGGGGGACTGACACTTCTGTAACTGACCCCCGAGTCGATTCTGTCCTCGGCTGGGGCTCCCCCATCCCAGGAGACTCGCTTCACACTGAAGCCCAGAGCCCTGCCGGAGTTTCACGGGTGTTTCCCGTCGAGATGAAAGGAGGCCGAAGGGCAGGCACGTGGTGTTGGAAGGAGGAAAGCAGTCGTTTTTCTCCAACCCAGAGAGATGGGACAGAATTCCGGTCTTAATTTCTGGCTGGGCTGCTTGACGGTCAGCCTGGCTATGTTTGACCTAATATTGTTCAGACTTGAAATTACCCAAAATGCTTTTAAGAGCGAAAGTTCACTAAGGCATTTTTAAATGTTTTTGGTGGCGTATTTGGTGTGGGTGTCGAGGTGAGTGAGTTTGGGAGTGTTTCCTCCTGTTCAACCGTAAAGGCATCTGGCTGAGACCTGCCTCGCCTTCCAGCCGCGCAGACCAGAGAGGCCACGGGGCCGTGGGCGCACCTTGTCCACCGACTTACTTACCAAAAAAAGGGAAAGTGCAGCGAGGATGTGTGCTTCTTGTTCACTTTTTTTTTTGTAATTGCATTACAGTCGGTTTACGGTGCTGTGTGAGTTTCTGGTGTCCAGCACCGTGACTCAGTTATACATACGTGTGTGTCCTATTCCATTATAGGTTATTGCAAGGTGTTGCATACAGTTCCCCGTGCTGTGCAGTAGGGCCTTGCTGTTCGTCTATTTTTAAGTACAGTACTGTGTATCTGCCCATCCCGAGCTCCCAATTTACCCCTTCACCCTCCCCGCTTCCCCCTGGAAAACCAGTGTGGCACAGAGACAGACATATGGCCCAGTGGGTCAGAACAGAGAGCCTGGAAATAAACCCACACACCTACGGTCAGCTAATCTTCGACAGAGGCGGCAAGAATGTGCAACGGGGAAGAGACAGTCTGCTCATCCAATTTTGACTAGAGCTGCCCTGTTGTTTAGCTGTTCAGAGCTGACCTCTTCCTGGATTCCCGAGTTCCTTCCCCACCCAGTCGGGCCCCTGGAACTGAAGGCCTGAGATTGGGTGTTAGTCATGTTGGGCCCCTGCCTGGGGGCTGCTGGGGTTGGGCACGTCGAAACGGATTGTTCCCATCTCACACTGACCGGCCCCACACCCAGAGGTGCCCCAGTGTGACAGGCCAGCACACGGAAGGTTTAGAGGATGAGTGAATTTTATTGCTATTACTTCAAAATGAGTTATTTTGCAAAATGCATTTTAAAACCTCAGCTGTGAGCCCCCAAACTGAACAGCTTAAGGCCCAGTGTTTCACCCCTTCATTTTTCTCCTTTTATTAAGAGAGACCAACACAAGCCAAATGAAAACAAACAAGCAAAAAAGGGAACAAACCCAACAAGACCTGGACAAACAAGGAAAGGCGGGGGGACTGCAGTCGACGAGGCCTGAGGTCCAGGATCTGCTCCTGCCTGTCCCACCGTGAGCTCTTAACAGCGGTGGGACTGCTGTGAAGGCACCTCGTCCCCGTCCTCACTCTCCTGAAATGGGGACTGATCTGCTCTGTAAGGAGCCCATTAATAGCAAACACCAAACTGTTTATATTCACCAAGATGTGGAAGCAACCTGAATGTCCATGGACAGATGACTGGATAAAGAAGCCGTGGTATATTTATACAATGGAATACTACTCAGCCATGAAAAAGGATAAAATAATGCCATTTGCAGCAACATGAATGTCCCTGGAGAACGTCATTCTAAGAGAAGTAAGCCAGAAAGAGAAAGAAAAGCACATATGAGATCGCTTATATGTGGAATCTAAAATATGATACAAATGAACTTATTTACAAAACAGAAAGTGACTCACAGACAGAACAAATTCATGGTTACCAATGGGGAAGGGAGGGAGGGATAAATTAGGAGTTTGAGATTTGCAGATACTAACTAATATACATATATATATATATATATACAAGTTTACATACTGTACAGCACAGGGAACTATATTCAATATCTTATAATAGTTGATAATGGAAAAGAATCTGAAAAAGAATGTATATATGTGTGTGTGTGTGTATAACTGAATCACATAACCGTACACCTGAAATATAGTAAATCAACTATACTTCAATTAAAAAATTTAAAAAAGAAAAAGACAAAGGTAAAAATAAAATGAAAGGCTGAGCTGGAGGAGGACGTGCCCAGGGCTGGGTTTCCAGGGCGGTGAGCCCGTGGAAGGAGGGGACACGGGCTTCCTCTCCACCCGTGGTCATTTCCCATCCATCCGGCCTGTTCTTTCTCGAGCGTCCGGGTGGTGGGTGACTAATCGGGGTCCTCCTTCCTCCGCCAGTACATGAGGATAATGGGGGTTCACCCCGCCGTGCCCTTCCTGGCCTGGTTCGTGGAGAACATGGCCGTGCTGGCCCTGAGCAGCGCCGCACTGGCCATCATCCTGAAGGCAAGCGGCATCTTCACGCACAGCAATGCCTTCATCGTGTTCCTCTTTCTCCTGGACTTCGGGGTGTCGGTCGTCATGCTGAGTTACTTCCTGAGCGCGTTCTTCAGCCAGGCCAACACGGCTGCCCTCTGCACCGGCCTCGTGTACATGATCAGCTTTCTGCCCTACATCGTCCTGTTGGTTCTGCACAACCAGCTGAGTGTGGCCGTGCAGACACTGCTGGTAAGTGGGTTGTTCCGGAACACGTACCAGTGAGACAGAACCCCCGTCGACCCCTCGGAGCAGAGTCATCCCCTCGACCTGCCACATGACTGTCTTCAGTGGGCTTTGCGACACTGTCTTTTCTGTATTCTGGCCTCAGAGGCAGACCCTGCGGTGCTGGGTCCCTGAAATTGCAGGGGTTTTGCTGCAGGGCCGCCCCCTAAAAATGGGCCTGTGTTGAGTCACGTGGATTCTCCTCTGAAGATTCTTTGGGAAATCGGTAGCATACTGCAGTGACTTCTTTTTCTCTTTGTGTCACGCATGCAAAGAAGCAGATTTCCAATGCTATTTTCAAGGTAAAAAATTAGCATTTTCCTTGCAGCATCGTGAAGGCCTCACCGTTGAGCGATGTCAGTCGTTCATCCATTTAACTGTACCTCCCAGAAAAGTGTCTGAGTGCTTTCAGGTCTGTAATAGAAGCACCTGCAAGACAGGAAGGCGTTCGTTCTTTTCTGGCGGTTCCCTGGCTGGCTCGGTGCCGGACATGTGGTAGGAGCTCAGTCACCTGGGAGGGGTGGCGAGACCGAGTCGCAGCGCCGGGTCACCAGGGTGAACATGTGTTGTGCTCATTTGCCCCGCAGACCAGGCAAATTCTTCAAGTCGCGGTCTGTGGGGAGGTCTGATTGGAGTCACTAGAGGAGAATTTGAGGCGATACGAAGTGACAAGAAGTCAGACGGACAAAGACAGATACTGCGTGTTTGTCACGTACACGTGGAATCTAAAAAATACAAAATGAATGAACGTCACAGAACAGAAACAGACTGAGATACAGAGAACAGACTAGTGTTTGCCAGCAGGGAGGGGGCACTGGGAGGGGCAAGACAGATAAACAGGATGAAGAGGGATGATGTAAATGTTAGACAGACAACCAGGTCCTTCCGTACAGCACGGGGAACCACTTTCAGTACCTCGCAATGGCCTCTAATGAAAGAGAATATATGCATATGTACATCTAACTGAACCACGGTGCTGTGCACCTGGAGCTAACACAGCGTTGCAAAGCAACTACACTCCAAATGGAAAAAAAAATGCGACAAGGGTGTAATGTGTAGCGCAGGGAAGATAGCCAGTATTTTGTGATGACTTTATATGCAATGTAATCTCTAAAAATATCAACTCGCTGTGTTGTACCTTTACAACGAACATAGTATTTTAAGTCAGGATTTAAAGAAAACAACAAACCTCTCGGGGCTGCGAAGGGGCAGTCGAGGCTGTCAGAAGTCCCCCCGTCCCCTGCCGCGCGCGTCCTGACGTCCCCTCGCTGGCCGGGAGCGGTGAGGTTCTTAGAGTGAAGTACTTCCAGGAAAGCCAAATTACTTTTCTCCAGCATCGGTAAAGCCGCCAGTCCCTCTGCCCCCGTGGTTTCTACTGGTCATATTCACACGGCATAGATATGCGTGCACGATGAAGAAACATTCCTATTTAATCGGCATTTCATCTGCTGATCCGGGGCCTGTCCGTTGGGATCAGCTTATGGTCACGCTCGTAGTAATTCGTCACCAAGAGTCTTGGGTTAGTGTTTATTCCATGTTTTCAAAATAATTAGAACAAACGGGACCCCCTTACTGCACCGCCCAGCCGCCAATCAACTCCGTACGTATAGAAAAGGGGCCATTGGACACCCTGTCTGAGTTGCCAGTTTTTGTTTGTTTGTTTGTTTCTCTGCTTAGGGGAGGGTGTAGCTCAGGCATAGAGCATGGGCTTAGCACGGACACGGTCCTGGGTACCACCCCCAGGACCTCCGGTAAAGGTTTATGTAGACAGAGTCTAGTTTCCTTGTTATGCATTCAGATGTTCCCTAGCAAATAAAAAAAAAATCTAATGCTGGTACATTATATTTTTGAACAGCAAGGACTTTTCCAATGAGATTTTTTTCTTCTTCTTTTTATAAACGTGGGACCTCTCCGCTGGAGCTGAAGTAACATTTTCCTCCACTGCACCCTGTTTCTCGTGTAGAATCGGGTACTGTCTCCATCGCTCTCCCCGTGGTGCCCCCGAGGGCACTGCTTTGATAATAGAAGCTGGTGAATCGCTCTATTCCTTTTCCCACTGTTTCGCGTTTCCATATACAGTGCATTGGATTTATGGCGCTTCAAGCACCGCAGTAAAGAGAAATAATCCCTTTTAACATTAAAAACTGGCTTGTTACCATGCTTTTCAGGATGGGCCGACGTACGGCTGAGGCTGGAGGTTCAGGTGCTGAAAGCACCGCCTGGGGCAGTGGTTTGGCATCGTTAGTCAGGACGTGCTGTGGATTCTTCATTGGCATTCAGTGCCGTGGCTTTTCTGTGGTCCCCATCAGACACTAACGGGCTGTTTTCTCTTCTCTCCACCAATCTGCGGGCAGTGCCTCCTCTCCACAACCGCCTTTGGACAAGGAGTATTTTTTGTTACATTCCTGGAAGGGCAAGAGACCGGTAAGAGGATCTTTGTTTTAAAGTGACTCTCAGTGACTCACTCAGGTTTTGGAAATCTTTTGTTGCCAGGTTGCAAGTGGTACAGTGGGAAGTGTCCGTGATAATGCAGGATGCCGGGAATGAGACCCCGGGGCTGGTTCAGCCCATGTCACACCTCCCACCATCCCGATGCCCTGGGTTTAGGGACAGTCAGGAGTAACCACAGTGCCCTGTGCTTTGACACTCCAGGTGCCAGCCACCCAGCTCCCCCCGTGGCTCCCCCGTGACGCCCCTGACTCACCCGTGGTCAGCTTAGGGATTCCTCCAAGCACGGGCTGTGCACTCACCCCGTCTCTGAGGTTATGATTGGACTGGAATCTGTCCCCCTGGGTCCCCCACCCACTTCTCCTGGTTTCTCTTTCTCGCTCCGTCTTTCTCATGGCAACTGTTTACAAGTCTACCAGCTCTCTCGCCTTTCCCTGCAGAGTTCCTGGGTCCTGCCTGAAGTCCGTGACCCAGAAGCACATCTGAGAACAACAGTCACCTCTATTTTCTCTAAATTAGAGTGAATTCAGCCTGCAATAATTATAAAATTTTTTTGGCCGCATTTTCCACTTCCACTGGGATTTTGGTGACTAAAGTCCTTGACCAGCGTGGATACATGTTTCTTAGATGTTTATATGGTTTTTGTAGTGTATTTTTGAAAACACAGGGAAAATATATTCCCCGTATGAGACTGAACTCCAGAAGTCCTTACCTTAGCTGCTGGATTTGCCCGCCTCTTTCAGGACAATGTGTTGAAGTATTCCAAACAGAATATTAGAACTATATTAAAGCAGCCATGTAAGCCTGAATGACCTAGCCTGAATTCTTTGCACTGATTTTTAAACCACTGCCACTGTTAGACCCTTTGACTATTTTGGACCCAGTTCCAACAAGTGCAAGATGTTAAAACACGCATTTCGTTGAGTTCTAGGCACCAGAGAAAATTGAGAAAGGTAACTATTCCTCTTAAATTATATTTTAATCCAGCAATAATGTGCAAAGACACTGTAAGAAAGTAATGGTTCGTTCCCACTGCAGCTCTTATGTATACCCTGTTTATGTGTTTTCAAAGAGCAAGAAGCATAGTATAATTTAGAGTTCATCTTTTTAAAAATATGCTTATTTTTCCTTAACATAGATTATTTTAGCCGAGCAAATAAAACTAGATATAACTAAAACGGTCTTTAAACATTTTTAACTGTTAGAGATTCACTTCACGCCGCCCCCCCACCCCCAGCTCCCCTGGAATCAGTGAGAGTCAGCAAGCTAACATTTCACTGGAAGACCGTGGCCAGTGGTACTGGCCTTCCCTCTGTTTTAGCGGCGTTCAGCTTCGCCGGCGCCTCTGGGACGGGGGAGGTCATCTGACCCTCACGCTGCCCTCTCTTCCTTGCAGGAATTCAGTGGAGCAACATGTACCAGCCTCCGGGACAGGCGGACATGACCTTCGGCTGGGTTTGCTGGATGCTCCTCTTGGATTCAGGCCTTTATTTTCTGTGTGGATGGTACTTGAGCAACTTGATTCCTGGTAAGAATTCTGCATTTATGAGATGACAAAATAAACTTTATAAACAGGTTGAAGCGGGGGAGAGGGTAGAGCTCAGTGGCAGAGCACGTGCTTCACAGGCGCAAAGTCCTGGGTTCAATCTCCAGTACCCCCATTTAAAATAAAAAGTTAAAAAAAAAACAAAAAACAAACAAAAAAACCCTAATTACTTCCCCTCCTCAATTAAAAAAAAATCTCAAAAAAGATTACCCAAGGGAAATTTTTTTTTTAAAAAAGCAGATTGAGCCCATATATGTGAATATTAGGGAAATTTGTTTTTTAAATAAAACGTCAGAAGAGGAGCTGATGGGACTTATTTTAAAGGGAGCCGTAGGTGTTTGAGGAGAAGCCGATGCGTCTGGCCCTGAGGTGAACAGCAGAGACCGAGTGAGGACAGCCTGGAGGGGCCCGGACAGAGGCTGGATGGAGCCTCCCCAGCAAGGGGGCTTCTGAAGACGGATCAGACTAGACCCTGGTGCCCAGAGCACGCGTTTGAGGGTGGCAGGCCTGAGGGAGAGAGGACAGGGGAGGCTGGGGGCCCGTGGGTCGGGCCCCGCCACGCCTGGGGCTGCCCGTGGTGGCGCAGCTTCCTTGGCGGGGCAGGTGCTTCCATGGCCCCCGTGGTAAGAGTCCTCCCTGCTGGTTCGAAGGGAAGGAAGTGCCCCCACCGCCATCCTGGCTCAGCTCCCAAAAGCAGAGACAGCATTTGACATTTTTTAACTTTCTATTTTTAGAAATAGCTTTTTGATGACGGTAGACCTTCTTGCTGACATTGCTCGTGATTTGGCTCTTTGCTTCCCAAACAACTGGACCTTTCGAGCAGCATCTAACCTTTCTGATTAAGAACTAAAAAAGAGATTCTAATCATGTGCAAATTGGAAATGGAGGGATGGGCGAAAAAAGAAACAAACTTTCTTCTGTTTGCAGAACTATGTTCCAGACCCGGAGGCCTCATGCCTCGTTTAAGGATGAGTCAAAATCAAAATAAAATGGGTCATTGAAAAGATTATTTTGTGTACAAGTGGGAAAAGTGGTCCCCCAAGAGGTAGAGAGAGAGCAGCAGTTAGAAATGTGATTAATTTTGGACAAATTTAGATGGCACGGTCTTGGTATTTGAGTACCATTTAAGAAAAGGCGGATTCTAGGAAACCAGAGATTAAAAAAATTAGCTGAGAAGGCCAAGGTGAAAAGAAACTGGAGAAGCAGTTGGATATTAGAAAGAAGCCGATTAACATACGAGAGGGCTGGGAACAGATGTGATGTGGATTTAAATGCATTGGGTGGTGGTGCTGCGCCAAAGGTGCAGAGCGGAGAGCGGGTCCACGGGCTGCGGGAGGGGCCGGCGTGGTCACGGAGAAGACAGGTCGGGGATGCAGACGCCACCCATGGGGTGGTGGGCACCAGGACTTGCAGACCTCTGCCCTCCCCGGGGACGAGACACGGGTCCAGAGGGACTGCAGGAAGAAGGGACTGTCATATTCCAAGGGAAAGAGGATCCTGGATTTGCAAAGGAAAGGCTCATGACTTGCACACAAAATTAATCAAAAGACACCTGAATCTTGATGTAAAATGGCAGATGTCTTGGAGTCCACAGAAAAAGAGAGGAATCCGTCCCGCATAAAGACAGCAATGTCCTACCACCCTCGGCAACGTGGAGATTAACATCACATTTGGCCACCGAATCCAGAAGGAGTTGAATTTTCCCCTGAATCCTCCTGAACGGGAGCAGGACCCTGTGCCCCCTCAACCCCTGCCTCTTGTTTATAGGAAAGCTGACATCTCCCAGCCTCCCTGAGTCACAGAAGAGCAGGCTCCAGCAGTTGATGGGGACAAGCTGCAGGCACTGGGGGGTGGCGACGACTCCGACCAGCTCAACGATGAACTGAGATTGTTCCTTCATTTCCTGTGGAGGCTTTCGGGGCTGAGCAGGATCTTTGCAGTTGGTTTGGGGGATGCTGGGTGCTCCAGATTGCAGACATCTGATTAAAGGCAACCTTCCTTCTTGCTGCCATGGCTGTCGCCCCCAGGGTCATACCCCTGCCCCTCCCTCAAATAGAAACCGGTTACTCTGATCTAACTCTCAAGAGGCGGCTGCAGAGAAGAAGCAAGATCTGGTTAGAACCAGCAGAGCCCAAAGTGGTGGAGGAGCTGACGCCCAGTGGACTTTGAGCCTCATTACACGTTCATTGTAATACCCCCCCAGCGCCAGGACAGTTGACCGTTGCCATGACAACGACTGGAAAAGCCAGGGTACAAGGACTGTAAAACTCGATCAAGGACCAGTCGGCTCCGCCACACCCAGAAGGAGGACATGATGGCAGAAGCCTCCCAGAAAAGCCCACGGGGCCCCACCTGCAGGGGCGCAGGTGCACGCAGAGAACCCACCAAGACGTGCAGATTTCTGGTTTCTAGTTTAACAATTCAGCCGACTGGTGGAGGCCTGTTTGGCGTTTTGCAGTAGGTGGTGCTATAGATCAAGCTTTTGGCCCCTCTTAGCTGAGCTGTGTTTAAGAGTCAGGACTTCCCTCCTTCCACCGCCTGCCAGAGGTGTCTGTATCTGGGGTCACTGGTTCCTTGCAAATCCCGAAGTCCTAATTTATCCCTCCCCCTCTTCCTCCCTGAGGACCGTAAGTTTTCTATGTCCCTGAGTCTGTCTCTGTTTTGTAAACAGATTTATTTGTGACATACATTTTTTTTTTAGATTGCACACACGTTCCTTCTCTTTATTTCCTTCTGTCTTTTGTAGGAACTGACCCCTGGGGCTTGGTGTCAGACTGGGAGACCCCGCACAAACCACAGGCCAAATAATTCCCCTGCCCGCGGGGCTCAGTGTCAGCCTGCCAGGCTCCACTATCAGCTCCACTATCAGCGCAGGCAGACGTCGGGTCCCTCAAGCAGGTTCCTTTCATAAACCCTTCATTGTGGGCTTTCAGTTAAATCTGACTCTGCCTGATCCGACATCGTTGACTTCTTTCATCACTGTCGGGTTTGGGGGGCAGTGCTAACTAGCTTCCCGGCCCGCAGAAGCCAGCCGGCATTTCCCCTTGAGGAGAAAAGCTCAGGGTAGACTGAGGGAGGGGGCGCTTTGCACATATGAGCGTTCCCAGTTACACTGGGGGATGTGAGCAGGGGTGCGTGCTTTTGGCGTGTGCACAGAAAAACAGGTGCAGATTTATGAGCAAAAGCAGACGGCGGAGGAGAGCTGAGGGGCCTCCGTGCTGACTTGAGCTTGACAGCTCCCTCATTCATTTAGATTTAGTAGGTTAATTAGCAGGGGTTTAAAAGTTCAGACAGCTTAGATCTGGGATGGTTTAATTAGCCAATCAACCATTAATATTCAGTTTATCTCCAATTTGTTTTTTCTGACTCTGAAAGGCCTCTCCCATCTCTGCCCTCCTTCTGTCCCTAGTTCAGGCCTCACGGTACCTCACCTGCACGATTCAGTGGCCTTGCACCACCCGCCCAGGCCTCCAGGTGCTCATTCAGAATCTGTAGCGTCCCGAGGCCCCTGAGTCCCCCTGCCCACCTGCTCTTCCAACAGGTGGGGCCGCTTAAGCCGCTGGTGGCAGATGGCAGTGACAACCACGGCCCCTGACAGGTTCCCTAGCAGAGCACTGCCGCTCGGCCGGCCAGAGGGAGAGGAATGCGGCCACCCGCGTTTGCAGACTCGTTATCCTGGCGTATTTGTGGCTCGTTATCTGTTACTCCACAAACTCCTCGTTCAGGCATGTGTCCAGGGGCTTGGTCACTTGCTCCCATTAGGAAGTTAAGGAAGGTGGGGACAGGAGCCCAGAAGCGGGGCCTCTGCTCGTGTGAATTCGGGGCAACTTGTAGGAAAGGGCAGCAGGGACCGTCCCCGCTTCACACGTGTGCTCTGAGAGACAGGTTCCGCGAGAGGCCACCTGGGGTTAATTAATCGCGTGGCTTCTGCTGCTCCCCGGCTTCGTGTCCTCCGACAGCCTTGCTGGACTGACCTTTCACTTTGGGCCTGGAGAGATGACAATGGGCGGTTGCAGGACTGTGGGAACTAATACAGGTCAGGACCCTGGACAGGGACCCTGGACGGGACCCGGGATGGGACCTGGGACGGGACCCGGGACAGGACCCTGGACAGGACGCGGGGCCAGGAACCTTGACAGCGCCCGGGACGGGGGCGCTCCTGGAATGCTGGCTGGGGTGTAATGTGGTTATCCACCCTCTTCCTACCGAGGCATGGTCCTTAGTTTGCCAGGCTCGTGGAGGATGTCCCACCTGCGTCTCCAGAGCTGCCGTAACAAAGCGCACAGACCGCGAGGCTTAAACAACGAACGTTTATTCTCTCACAGCCCTGGACTCGAGCAGGGCTGGCGTCTCCTGAGGGCGCTCTCCTTGGCGTGTAGATGCCACCTCCTCCGTGTCCCCACATGGTCTCCCCTCTGTGCCTGTGTCTTAATCTCTTCCTACAAGGACACCAGTCCTGTTGGACTGGGGCCCACCCATATGACCGTATTTTATCTTAATCACCTCTTTGAGGGCCCTTCCTCCAAATACAGTCCCATCCGAAGGTCTCAGGGGTTAGGACTTCACACGTGAATTTTGAGGGGGTGACACTTCAACCCATAACAGATGGTAAATATTAGACCAGATACCAGATCTCCCTTCACTTTCAAAAGATGAGGGGCCCCCTTTTCCCTCTTTGTGATCATCTCTTTAGATCATCTGCTTAGATTCTGCGTGGGGTTGCGTATCGCTCCTTTGCTCGAGGGTCAAAAAGTGCTAGAATATAAAAAAGTCTTTCCGTAAGCCTTTGTTTCTTCAGTCACGTATGGAATTTAGATCACTGATCAAACTTAAGCTAGAACGGATGTGTTACAGAGAACTGAGGCGTGTTACTCATTAAGCCCCCTTGCGTTTCGACATGTCATGGGGGCGAAGTGGCTAGTGGCTGGGCTGGAACGAGTTTGGAGGGCATGCCTGAGGAGCGGTGAGACGTGCCAGGCGGAAATGGTAGCATTATGAATTCTTCCTCCTCGTTGGAGTTTTACTTGCTGAATTCCTCCATGCTTTTAGTCCTGTGTAGTAAGCCGTGCAGACACCAAAGACAGGCAGAGTGACACCTGAACAGGGAGGCAATGGAGCAGGGGACATTTTAGAAATCATATTTAATAAGTACCTCTCTGTTTAGTGAACAGCTGCTCAGAAGACCTTTTGGGGGAAGGGGGTGGGAGGGCCCCAGCAGGCGGCCCGGGTCAGGGCTGAGGAGAGAAAGGGCTAAAACTCTGTCCCCGATTGTCACTGGTTCCTGTATGGGATGTGGGCTGAACATGTTAAGGTGGAATCACATTTTATAGTAATTTGGTTACGATAGTCAACTACAGAATCTTCTTCTATGTAGAAAAAAAATACAATCTGATTTTAACTGCATCTTATTTTTTCAGGAACTTTCGGCTTAAGGAAACCATGGTACTTCCCCTTTACCGCGTCCTATTGGAAGAGCGTGTGTGGTCTGGGGGTGAAGAGGCAGCGCACGCCGACTTCTGATCTGTTCTTCGTCCGTGAGAACTCTGACGGTAGAGGTTTGTAAAGGGTATCTCTGTGTGATGCGTGGTTTCCCTTCTGGTCAGTGTGTTTCTGATTCTCACTTCTGGCTGAGCCCTGTGTGGACACTGTCCCCTAGTGCCCCACTCTCAGGCCATCTTGGGCTCAGAAACGTGGTGGGGCCAAGTGTCAAGAGAGAATCCCCCGGTGATGTTGACCCCACAAGGGCTGGGGACCCCAGTGCCAATGTTACCTATTGCCCGCAGCATCCTCTCTGCGTTCTGTGCATTTGTGCATATCTTATAGATTTTTTGAAGGTTATTTTGGTGGGGCAGGAAGTAGGTCTGTTTAATTATTTTTTTAGTGGAGGGACTGGGGGTTGAACCCAGGACCTCGTGCATGCTAAGCACACGCTCCACCACTGAGCTATACCCTTCCTGCAGTGCATGTCCTATAATTCAGTTGTTTCTAACATGGAATTCGGGTGAAAAATCAGAGCAACGGTGGATGGCTACCACCAGATAACGTATTTCAGAATTGCATTAATGTATTTTAGAATGTACTTTAGAATTTTCAAAGCGTTTCACAAATGCTAGTTTATTCAGTGCTTCCGGGAGAGAGAGATGGTATCACTGCCCCTTTCGAAGGAGGAACGTGCTTCCCAGGAGACCAGCCCTCCCCACCCCCGTCACGCCCCATCCCTGCGGGGCTAGCACCTCAGCAGGAATCCAGAGGTGAACAGGCTCCCACCCCAATAAGCCGGGGCTGCAAAGAAATTCTCTCCTGATGGCACAAGTGCACTGGGTTCTTACAGGAAATCTGGAACCCAGCCCCAGCCAGTAACTCCCCTCCTCTGGAGCCCATCGCTCCTGGACAGTCAGGTGTGTGACCTCCCTGCCTGTTACCATTCCTGTTCACATGTAGATAAACATGTGTGTGTGTGTGCGTGTGCGTGTGCGTGCAGGCTTTTTTTAATTCTCTTACAAAACAGGTAACACAAAGGCCCACAACTTCGTACTCAGCAATTTCTCTCAATTTTTGCCGTTACAGAATTTGCCTGTTGATTTCGGTAAAGAAAGATTTTTGAGTTGCTTCGTATGTTTCTCGGACCTAGAACGCGAGCCCAGGGCGGCCCACTGGATTTTTAAGGGTGACCATTATTTGGGGGGCCTTGCAAGTCCTTTCAGGGTGAATTTGCATCTTCCTCCCAGACTCATCGCTGCAAACCGGGGAAGGAACCCCCTTGGGCGTCACCCTGGCGTCTGTGACCAAGGAGTATGAACGCCACCGGCCGGCGGTCCGAGACCTGACCCTGACCTTCCACGGAGACCAGATCACCGCCCTGCTGGGGACCAACGGCGCCGGGAAGACCACCGTCATGTGCGTCTGTTTCACCTCCTAAACCCCGGGGTGTTGATTCTTGAGAACGTGCGTTTGCCTGTGAGGCGGGAGGCTGGCTTCCTTCTCTTCTCCTTTTGTTTGGTCTCAGTGCAGAGCTTAGAGACGTGAGGGAAGGCAGCCCTCTCTGCACAGCTGCCCGGTGCCCCCCGCTGACAATCACGCTGTGGGTCTGGAGCAGACTCGCAGGCGGAAGGGTGGATTTGGAAAAAAATGATTCTCTTTTTATTTCCTATGAAATGTTCGCCACGTTTTTATTTTGGTCTTCGAAAGCCCTGTGACACTTTTTTGTTCTCCTGCTCAGATTAAATAGGAAGATGAAATTTGCCATGTTTGCACATTCTTTAAAATTAAAACTAAAATTTTTTTAATTTTGAAAATTACTTTTCATGCAACTTTTTAAGCACCCGAGTGGTTTTGTTTTTCCCGTTCTGCTTTTTGTGGGGGTGTGTTTTTATGAAGGCTTGATGTTCGATTTGGGATCCAGTGGCTCCAGGTTTATTTAATGAAATCAAATCATGAGATCCCAGAGAAAGAATGAACTCAAACCATCTCAGCTCTGAGCTGATTGTGCAGACTGGGCTGGTTTCAGGCCAGACCCCTCAAATGACTGAATTTCTGTTTTGAAAATGACTTTCTTCTTGTTCTGTATGAAGAGGACTGAAGTGCCCTTGGGCAGAGCAAGGGAAGGAACTGTGGGCTTCAAACTTACTAAGAAAAATAGGAAAATAACATTCATAAAGCTTCAGAGGTTGCTTATTGAGAATAAATTGAGAGAGAAACGTGGGCAGGTTTCTTCTCTTCCTTGGATGCCGTAGGTTTTGCTGAGTACTTTTTTCGTGTTTGGAGGCTGGGGAAGTAAGCGCTGCTCCAGGAATGACTCAGAAAGCCAGCGCCCCACGTTGTGCTTTTACTGACGCACGTTTCTCACAAAGAAAGCCTGGCGTTCGTGGTTAGAGCGAGGATGAGGAGAATTAAATTAGGAGTGTCTCGAGGTTTCGAGGGTCCCTGGCTGCGTGGCTTCTGATGACCCCTCGAGTCCTCCCAGTGGGCGTCTCTTCCCGGCGGTTCTCGGGAGAGGCTGGACGGCCAGTTCCGGGGCCGGGTGTCACTGGGCGAGACCAGGAGGTCTGAGACTCACCCAGAACGTGGACACACGGCTCCTCTCTACGCCCCGCACCCCCACGAAGAGCGCTGCCCGTCAGGTTTACCGAGGGGCCACATCTGTGCATCCAGCGGCGTGTGTCTGAGTGTGCCGTTGGTGACACGCCAGGCACCTGCGTCCCCCCGAGCTTCCTGTCCCCCCTTGGTCTGCCGTGGGTCGCCGTGAAGTCGCTGGCTTTTTGTAGAGTTTCGTGTAAATGTCGCGACGCCCGGCTTTCTTCCTGGGGACCGGCTCGCGGCGACGGTGTCTCGGCGGCTTGGGCCTGAGGCTGCTGCTGGGGGCTGAGGTTGCTTCCAGTTCCGGGCGACGGCAGAGAGAGGGGCTGAGGACACTCAAGTCGATGCGCTTTAATTTCGTTCCATCCGTGGCTACAAGGGGATTTGCTGGGTCCTGGGGTGGACGTGCCAGAAACCTTTCAGAGAAAGAGAACAGGCCAAGACATGAGTAACCCACTCCCTGAAACAGGGCGGCCCTGAGGCTCCGTTTCGCCAAGCAGGCAGGAGCGTGTCTGGGACGGGCCCCTCGGATGGTTGCGGATTTGACGGGACAGGTGGCGCAGCGTAGACGAGGGACAGCAGGGCCGCAGGACTGGGAGCCGAGGGTTGCACTTCTGCTTGGCTTACGTGTAACTGTGAAGACTTGAGTAAACATGCTGGCTCTTTAGCCTGTTTCCTCATCTGTGAAAACAAAGGTGGGCTAGAATCGGGGACTCCCGCGCACGCACGACGGTCTGTGATCACAGCGTGGACGGGGCCCTGGGCCCACGTGTCCAGGGTTAGACCAGCCAGCACCCCGCTAGGGTTCCCGCCTCTCCCTGCCTGATGGGTTTTCTCCGGCAGATCCTTGCTGACCGGCCTCCACACCCCCACCTCCGGGACCATCCTGGTCAATGGCAGGGACCTGCGGACCGACCTGCCTGCGGTGCGGAGGGAGCTGGGGCTGTGTCCGCAGCGGGACGTCCTGTTCGACGACCTCACGGTGCTGGAACAGCTGCTGCTCTTTGGCTCCATCAAGGCCCCGCAGTGGCCCCGGGAGGAGCTGCGCCGGCAGGTCGACAGGTGAGCGGCCGTCACCGCCGTGTCCCCCTGCCGTCTGTCCCGGAGGGCGTGGAAGACAGACTTTGCAGACGTTCACTTGGGAATCCCTCAGGCGAGTCCCCAGCATCTCACCCGGGTCTGTGTTCAGATTTCGCAGCTCTCTAGAGCCCAGCGGTCACCCCCTCCTCCTGTCCCGCCTCCTCCTCGCTGCCTGCTTATGGCCACCGCAGGCTGCAGCTCACGGGGAGGGAGAGGTTTCAGGAAGGTGTGTGTGGGTGACGAGGGGGTGGGCATTCACGTGAGGGCAGAGGGTGGGAAGGTTATGACCGGGGAGAAAAGAGAGCTGGTCCGCAGTTGCAGGTGCCCCTCCCCACTGGGAGGCCTTCCTTGTGCTGGGCGTCCGAAATCAGATCTGAAATCCGTCCGGGGCCTGGAAGATCACTAAGGCGGGAGGAGAGGGGCTTCTCTCCCCTCGAAGGCAGACCTGAGCGTGCAGATCTGCACGTGGTGTTTCGTGGAAATGCCCCCCCTTAGACAGGAATGGGGACTAGGGGAGATTTAGTGCAGGGAACGGAGGTCATCGCAAGTCATTATTCACGGACTGAAACCTGAAGCATGTGCGGAGGAAGAGCGAGGGCTCCGGTCTCGTTGCAGGACCCTGCGGGACGTGGAGCTAACCCAGCACCGGCACAAGCAGACCCGCGCCCTCTCGGGGGGCCTGAAGAGGAAGCTCTCCATCGGCGTCGCCTTTCTCGGCACGTCCCGGACGGTGGTTCTGGACGAGCCGACCAGTGGCGTGGACCCTTGCTCCCGGCGTGGCATCTGGGACATCCTTCTCAAGTACCGGAAAGGTGGGGGCTGCCCCGAATTCTGCCGCCTGTTCCCGCAGGACTGGGGCGGAGGGCAGGGAGGCTTTGGGGAGGAGCCTCATCGCGTCCCACATGAGGATCCATCCTCCTTCTCAGGAAAGGAGCGTGCAGAGGGGCGCCTTTCACGCAGCATCTCTGTTGCCCCGGGGTTGCCAGTCCTGTGATCTCCTGAGCCCGTCTAAAAGCAGTGGTGTCATCAGTGCACGTCACCCGTGACGTCCACTGACGTCCGGTTCGTCCACGTCGTGCTCCGTTCTGGAATCATTCTGGAATTATTAGCAGAGGGGTCCCAGCTGTAATCTGGGGAAAGCCATCATCCCTTTTCTCGGGGAGGAAACTGAGGCACAGAGAGAAGGGTGCGGGATTTGCTTACAGCCGCGGAGGAGGCTCGCGGGGTCCACGTGTCTCACCCGCATGATTGGGTGTTTCCAGTTTAGGGTGTGTCATGTGATCCCACTGTCGTGAGGCGGACAGTTACTAATTTCCAGCTTCTGATTCTTTCAGTGGTTCTGGCAGCTCCGAAGCATTGCTGTGGGTTTTTTTTGTTTGTTTGTTTGTTTATATAGAAGCATCGGAATTTGGAAAGAAGCTTCAGAAATAAAGAAACACCTTGGGGCTGGTTGGCCAGCCAGGGGCCGAGAGTGGCAGGGTGACCGTGGAATCTTGTAGAACGTGGTTTGACTTTGCTTGTCTGCCTCTCGAGTACAAAGCCTTCTCTGGGCTTGACCTGAATCCTCCGCCTCCCTCGGGCAGGTTAGGATTTACTGCTTAAGAAATGCAAACAGAAGGGAGCCCAGAGGAGATGTCAGATTCTCTGCTTAGGGCAGGAAAGCTGCTCCCGTCGGCCACTGGAAGCTGCGATCCGGGAGGAGGGGGGGAGGTGCAGAGGGGACGTGGAAGGGCCCTCCTGTCCCTTTCTGTCCCAGACATGCAGGGGGTCGTGGAGGGAGGCGACGGAGGCGGGCAGACGTGCTCTCCGCTCCTTCCTGGGCGTTGCGGGGGCAGAAGCGGGACCAGGAGAGTGAGGCAGTGTTGCTGGCCCGGGCTCACCTGATCTGGTGCAGCCAAGCCGCATCCAAGTTCACAAGCAGATCGCCGGCCCCGGGCGGTGGTGTCCTGCACGTTCACGGGTCCCCGGGCCTCGGCGCCGACCAGGTGGGCCGTTGAGGCCAAGAGGAGGGACCCTTCCAGAAGCCTTGCCCACGCTAGAAAGCTGGGGAGGGGCAGCAGCCTTCCAGAGAGACGGGGGACGGTGCCCCCACGGCCACCGGAGGTCCCAGCCCTCGCTCACTGCCAGGCGATCCCACAGCCCTCCTTCCTCCGCTCACCTAGGCGCCCTTGGGGGAGAAAAGTCAGTGGACAGAAATGAGAAGTCGTCACCCTTCAGTGCAGGAGACTCTGAGCACCACCCCTAAAGGGGCTGATGAGGTTTTGAGAAAAAACTGATCTCAACCCGACGCAGTCATTTCCCGGCCACCCTGAGCCGGGGCTGCTGCAGGAGACAGATGCGAGGCCCTCATGCCTGCTCGCGTGCATTGCAGGACGCATTCAGCGTCACCGGCTCGCAAGTCTGGTTTATTTGCAGAGTCCCGAGGGCTCGGCAGGCGGAACGTTTGAGTCATGAGCCACCAGTGCGCACGTTCACTTGCAGAAAACCAGATGTGATGAAGCTCTCAGGAGCAGCGAGCTTTCTGCAAGCTCTGTCGCCGTACATTACACATGTCCCTCCTGTTCGCGGTCGTTTAGCTGCCGTGGTCTTCGGAGGCGTCCCGGCACTGATTGCAGTGAAAAATCAATAGGACGGAGGCGGAGGGGACGAGTGGTACTCACAGGAAAATATGTTTTCAGGAACCAAATGGATGGCCTTTTCTGGGGAAAGCCCCAAATCTCCAGGCAGCCGTGCGACGGCTTTGGAAAAATAGATCGAAGGGTAGGGCTGCACGAAAAGCAATGTTCCCTGCTGGGTAGAGAGGCTGTCTGCCAGAACACAGAGCATCATCGGGGAGTTTGACCCATGTTTCTTGCTGAGTGATGTGCAGAGCTGAGCTCTTGATCACTTCTGGTGTCAGGGTTCTCACGTCTGCCTTGGAAGGACAAATAAGGAAGGAAAGGATCTCGGAGCAGAAGGCGCCGGTGACAAGCAAGCTCATCGGCTCCAACACATCCCTGCGCTGCGGTCCCGAACGACCGGGAGAAATTACCCAGCGCCTCTGGGCTTCAGTTTTCCCCTTTGCAAACGGGGACACTTGCACAGCTTGCGGGGTTGTGGGGGACGTCGAAGTGCTGTCTGTGAAGACATGTGGCTCCGTGTCTGGCCCGCGGGTGCCCCGGGGACGGCTCGTCCTTGTCACTGTGAAACAGACAAGGGCAGGTGATGGTGGGGAAGGCCACATTCGGAGGGAGGGACTCACACACCCTCTGACTCGGGGGAGAAACTGGGAAGGCTGGCCTCACAGAGCAACACTTGTCCTTCGAGGTTTGGGGTGTGTCCTGAGTAACTTAACGCCCCCCGAGATGCCCTTAATGCATCAAACATCTGTGAACTTGATCTGCATTTTTTTCTTTTTTTTGGAAAATTCACATTCCAGCCGACTTCATTTTTAGGTCCCTGTATTGTGCAAAAACATGTTACAAGTCTCTGAACTGCCTGTCCCTTCAGGTCAGGGACCGAGCACGTTTTCTTGCCTGGAAGGACTTCACGCAGGGAGGTCGGCCGTGGTCTTTGAGATGCACCTGCTGTGTTGGTGGGCACCCTGGACTGCCACCCCCAGCCCCACCGGGAGCTCTTAGGTTTTCTTTTTAGATGCATTAAAAAAAAAAAAACAAGTTGAGAGTCCTAGTCTCTGCTTTCTCTGCTGTTTAGAAATATAAAATCGAGTAGGGTTAAAAACGTATTCTGCCTTCCTGCTTGGAACCTTTGTTTGTGAGCGAAGAATCAACCAGTGTGTTCATTTCTATTCAATGAAACAGAGTAAGTAGAATCAGGCCTGTGGGGCATGGAGAGAGGCTGAAAGTTGTGAGAGCTCCCCTTAACATACTTGATTTATTTACTTATGTATTTAGGTTTTTTGTTTGTTTTTTGGGGGGGAGGCGTTCAAGTTTACTTATTTATTTTTAAAGGAGGTGCTGGGGATGGAACCCAGGACCTCATGCATGCTAAGCACACGCTCTACCGCTGAGCTACGCCCTCCCCGCTATTTATTTATTTAGTTTTTTTTTCCCGTTGACATAACTGAAGGCAACGTTGCAAAAATATCTGCTAGCATCTCTGGCCTCCGCCCTCCTAAGGTGCCTGAGCCCTTTTCTCCCCAAGCAGAGGAAGTAGAACTTGACAAGATGCTAGAATTCACTGAGAACACGGTTTAGCCTAACACCCACTTCTGCAAAGAGTGACCACGGGCCTGTGATCGGGGGCGCCTTTCTTCCCCGGAAGGCCGATGGCCCAAGTCTCCCACCTGGCCTGTCCCCCCCCCCCTCACCGCAACCCCAGCCCATCTCCCAAAACTCTCCGTGTCCGTGACTGCTGGGAGCTTTTCCCCTGAAGAGACGGGGCCTCTGCTCCCAGGGCATGTGATGGGCGGTACCCGGGCGGCAGCCTCCCCCGTCTGAATGTCATGGGCACGTGCAGTGGCCCCTGCCTACCCCAGTGCCCGTCTGGTTTCCTTGTGCAAGAGCCTCTTCCGGAGAGCACAGCCTTCTCCTTCAGGACGCGTGAGAGGGTGGTCGGAGATGCACGAGGGGCTTGAGTGTCGGGGGAGGGAGGGTGACGTTCCACCCAGCTGTGTGTTATTTTATTTTTAAAAGTTTCTCCTCCTCTGTGTCCATTCAGTGATCTGCCTCCTGGTCTCATGGAGACTTTCTGTTTCGTGCCTCAAGTCCACCCCCCGTGCCTGTCAGAGGCCCCCTTTGGTTCCCGAGGGGACGAGGGATTTGTGGCATCAGTGTTGGGTCCCTCGGGGGAAAGTGCGTGATGTGGCCCTGACTGAGGACCCGCCCCAGGACGCATCTCCTCTGACCTAAAACCTGTAACACTCCTTTTTTTTTCCTTTTTAAATACAGTCGATTTACAATGTCATGCTAGTTTCTGGTGTACAGCAAAGCGAATTCAGTTACACACATAATATACTTTTTTCTTTTCAGGTTCATTTCCGTTATATGTTATTATAAGAAGTTGAATATAGTTCCCTGGGCTCGACAGTGGGTCACTGCTTTTTCTTAATCTATTTTGTATACAGTAGTGTGTGTCTGTTAATCTCAGACTCCTAATTTACCCCTCCCTGCCCTCTCCCCCTTGGTAACTACAGTTTGTTTTTTATGTCTGTGAGTCTGTTTTGGGCTTGTAAATAGAATTTTTATCATATGTATTTTTTCAGATTCCACATGTAAGTGATATCACATCCTTCTTTGTCCTTCTCTGTCTGACTTACTTCACTCAGTATGATCATCTCCAGGTCCACTCATGTTGCTGCAAAAGGCATGATTGCAGCCTTTTTCATGGCTGTGTAGTATTCCATCATGTGTGTGTGTGTGTGTGTGTGTGTGTGTGTGTGTGTGTGTGTGTATGACCTCACCTCCTTTATCCAATGAAAGTGGTGAAGCTCTTTTTTTACATTTTTTATTGAGTTACTGTCATTTTACAATGTT